AAGTTTGCACTTGACATAAACCGGCACTGCCCTCAACCAAATGTCGAGGTCTTCGCCCCTCTTATCCCCTGTAAAGGGTTTTGGAGCGGCGATGGCCGTTTTCGGTACCCACTGACTTTGTCTCGGTCCCTGCATCACTACGGGCTGGACCCTGTGATACAGGCTGTTGTACTGAGTGCAGGGGCTGTGTACCCTGCGGCTATACAGGCTGTGAGATGCACACTTACTGCAACCTGCGACGAAGGTTGGGTAAACACTGTTTGTACAGGAACCTGTAAACTAGGACCTACTGAGAGCCCTCTTGTTAATGGCATGCCCATGGAGACAGGCTGAAACGATACTGGAGCGGTATATGTGGATACCCTGGTCACCGGTGGAACAATAGGAGGAGGATGTATAACGGGCCAGGCACCAGGCCCGGACAGTGATGGTGCCGCCTGCGCTCGTCCGACCAAAACAGCCAGACTCTGCTGGATGTCCTGTAAGATTGTCGTCTGCTGGTCTTCTACTACTCCTAGCAAGACCGACCTCAGGGCCCTCACCGGATCATCCAGCTCTGCTGGGTCCATCTCCTCTAACTCACTAATGTCCGCTTGTCGCCGCTGCAACCTGGCTCTTCTTCTAATCATTCTTTCTTTTTCTGCCTTAATCTCTCCTCAAGCCTTTTGTAGTTGTGCCTCTTGCAGGGCAGCCTGCTGTATGGCGATCTCCTCGGGTGACAACACCACTGGCTGGCTTGCCATAACCCCAACCGACTGACTCTGGGTTTGTGCAGCCGTTGACCCTACAGACCCTGAATTGCTGGTCTGGGAACTCTGCTGCGCAGCAGTTGCCATGGCCACTGAGACAGCGGTTTCGCTTGCGAACGCTCTGCTGGTCTCTGCTGCCCTATCCCTCCGCTGCTGTTGCTGCCTCTCCCTAAGCTGGCGGAACAGATATTTGTCGCCCTCTGGTCCTAAGGCCAAGTGGGCTATCGGGCGTCTAGCCGATCGCAAGATCCGTTCGTCCTCACTAGTGGTGTCCCTATCCCTCATATGCTACAAACTGCACACCGTCTACACTAGGACACGCAATGGATGCCTACCACAGCGACATGTACAGACCGATATAAATAATCGGCAGCTATATTAGAGACTAAACATTCAAGTCCAGCAAGTAAGTTCAGATTCCTACAAATAATACTATTCTACTTTGACTAGCTCGCAAATAGAAAGCACAATGAACATAATCAGTTCTAAACTATGATGTCTGCCAGATGTCAATGGCAGCACATCTAACTAATCAGAATAAAAATAACATCATTTGTTGGGTCTGTTTGCAGCATGGGATCTTACTCAAACTTATCACCTGGAATCTACCCCTTCCCCAATTCCCCTTGATTGTCACTTGACGTCAGCGTCCCTAAGCAATCCGGTTTGGCATGTGTGACTAAAGGTGTGCACACGGCCCACCCCTGTGCCCCGAGTATCTGCTGAGCTGGCCAGCCCTGCACTGTGTTTATCCTCGCGTGCAGCGAGCCTTACACCAATTGGCTGATCCAGAGGCAATTTAACAACCGCCCCCAAGTGTCATCAGGAATTATTTTACGTCGCAGCAGGACAACGATCACAGCCAATTGTTTTCCGAGCCGGTGTTTATTTATGGACGCCCGGTACTCGTCTCTCCCATAGGGCTGGCCTGCCCTGCAGTACCCCTTCTATGAGCGCAGCAAGCAGACAAGGACAAAGCAGCAAAGCATGCGTCCTCTACTCCCGGTGAGTTGGCATGGTGACCGTGACCCAGTGCTCCGTCCAGGGCCCTTCAGAAAGCACCGCCCTCTCCTTCTAGATGCTCCACGTGAACAATGCCGACTCTCAAGGTTGAGCGCACACGACACCTCACATGAGAGGACTCTCAAGAAGGAACTCACAACCTCACGGTAAGAAGTGATGAAGAGGGTAGATAAGGTTAAGAGCAACGTACCTCATTATAGCTGCCCCCGACCACAGATATTCTCACCAGATGACCTGATGGCGATTGCGATGACCAATCACTGCATCGACACAACCAGCATTATCTCGTCGTTCCACCTCAGCATCAATCAACCACCAGATAGTTCTCATCACACTGCGAACACCCAATATACACACCGTAGCCTTCCTGGCGATTCCCCTCTCCTCCTGGGTCGCCACACCTTGGTTCCGCCCTCCTCACTACACACCGCCTATGGCCTCACTCACCAAGCAGACCGCATGTATGTACCACATAGGCAGAAGACAAGCGCCAGATGAGCACAGCGTACCACAGCTCTGATACCAAATTGCAAGAAAGATGAGCAATCGCGAACTTCAGCAATCAAACAACATCATACACATAGGACCAGATAGTCGTGACCTCGAACCAAAAGCAGAATTGCATCACGAGTTTCACCAAATAAGAGTACACCAAAAGCTCATAATTGACAATGCTGGAATAGTCTCATCATCATCAACGAAGAACCAATGTTGATATCCTATCTGGCGCTCGGCGCCCAGACTACAGATGGCAGATCCTATCTAGCCTAGACTACAATGCCGAAGATGACGACAACAACTCTCCCGAAGTACGAGCAGATAGCGGCCAATGCCGCACGCTTCCAGCACCAGGTATGTCTCTCGCATCACTCACAACCTCGTTCCCCAACACACAGATGCCACATGCACCCAAGGACCACCCTGCGCCTCACCCAGCTCCCAGCAGCGGAGCTCGGCTATGGCTGCCTGCTCCTTCCAGCTTGCCCGTGAGCGCATGAGCGCCAGCCAGCTTCAGTGCAGCATGCAGCCAGCACCCGAATGTCCAATGCGGAGGCAGGCCCTTTGCTATATGGAAGTGGCCTGCCCGCGTTCTGTCCCAGGCTGCGCTGGGCCTTTCCCAAGAAGCTTCCGGTAGGCTGAGGCCCAGTCCGAAACAAATCAAGCCCAGGGCCTGAGGTGGTTGCTTGTGCCCAACTGCCTTCGGCCTGTGTTTGGCCCACATCCCGTATCCAGCCCAGGGCCTGCCTTCGATACATGAAAACAGGCGGCCCAGGGCCTGGGTTCTTTCAACCAACTGGCGCTGTGCAACAGCCTGAATTTCCTTAGTTGCGTGGTGGCCGAAATAGGGGCCCTCAGGTCCTCGTCGAGCCTGCCTTCACTTAGGGCGGCCGACGTGCTGCTTGACAGGGCCTGAAAGGGGCTCATTGAGGCTGTGGCCTCGCAATAGCAAGAGGGTGAGAGGGAGATGGTGGACTGAGAAGAGGAAGAAGGGACTCTCTCTCTCTCTCTCTCTCTCTCTCTCTCTCTCTCTCTCTCTCTCTCTCTCTCTCATGTGGCAGGTACTAACCTGTGAACATGGCGCCGTGCTGCAGGTACCTCGAAGGCAAAGCTGGAGCTATGGCGCTGCAGGTAAGTCTCCCTGGCCTCCGGCCATTCTCTCTCTCTCTCTCTAGTACTACTCTAGCTCTGAATGGCACCCAGCGCTAAGACTACTGCTAACGCTACTAGCGCCCAGCGCTGAAGACTACTGCTAGCGCTACTACTACTCCTGCAGCCCTCCTCCAGAGTGCTGTTACCGAATCCTGAAGACTACATCCTGCCTCCTGAACTGCACGTGAAGTGCCTGGGAAGTCCCTATGAACTACCTGCAGCCTGCAGGGAGGGCCAGTCTTCTATAGTGGTGGCCCGTCCAGGAGGCTGCTCTTGCCAATGCCAAAACGTGCCAGACCCTGGGGTTGAAGCTCAAACAAAGGTTGTCTTGAAAATAGGCCAAAAATGGCCTGAGCTACAACCCTGGTCTGGTGCCTGAGTTTCAGGGCAGGTCGATCTTATGAGGGCCTGAAAATGGCCCTCAGTTTCAGGCTGAGAAGACTCAGGGCCGGAAAGGCCCTGATTTAGGCTGAAACGACACAGGGCCTGTACGCCCTTGTTTTCAGGCTTTCAGGCTGAAACGACACAGGGCCTGTAGGCCCTTGTTTTCAGGCTTTCGGGCTGAAAACGACACGGGCCTGAAAATAGCCCGTGCAGCCTGTTGCAGGCACAGCATGTAACAGATATTGTCCTCCTGAGGTGTTGTGATGGTATGGCGTACAGGCCCCGAGTTCCAGGCAACGAAATTATGCCCATGCCCAGAAACGGGCTGGCAAAATTGCTGGTGTAGCCACAGCCAGGGGCGGGCCTTGGATGGCAACCACAAAATTATGCTCATGCCCACCACGTGGACCCTTGTGGCTCAGCGGCTGCTGGGTATGAGCATAATTTCAGGCATCCGGTAGTAGGGTATATGAACAATTTGGACAGTCCACCCCAGTCCCGGGTATGCCCATACTTTTGCCTGGGTATGTCGTACTATGTCCATAATTTGTGCATTCCGGTAGTTAGTTATAGCTTCAATTTTGTGGTACCAACCTGGGTCCACCTCAGTCCTGGGCATGCAAATGATTTCCACCGGCTGTTTTCCGGGTATAGGTGCAAGTTGGCACTGGGACTGGGTATAGCGGGTATTCCCATCTTTAAGTGCGTCACAGATGCAATTTTCCCTTTATGAATTCATGTATTTTCGAATCCACTCTCAGTGCTGATTCACCGATGAATACTTCTTCAACTAACAACAACATGCAACAATGCTAATTGCGGATATGACAAACTGTTCGATTGTGTTGCACCTTGGCCCAAACTCCTGTGCATGTTCTCACCACATCATATTGACTTTCAGCAGTCGAACCATAGATGTTTTTCAGATTGACAGAATGGAAACGTGCTGAAGCAGCAACAGAACAGACGACTCCCAGTCAATACACTCTGATAAAGGGTAGCAAGGCGAGACGAGAAAATCAGACAAATTGCAACAAGCCACAACACACGGAAAAGCATGAGACCTTGCCAACCATCACATTTTTGCATACCAGAAAATAGTGGAGGCATGCGCATGAGTGTGCAGGTGTGGACGGACGAACAAGGCAGTTTGGAAACAAGGGAAAGAAAGCAAAAGACCATCACGTTACTCACCGTGGACAACTTCAACATTGTTAAGGTCGTCAACATTATTGAGCCCATTTGGATAGAAAACCTTGTTGTTGACAATTGCAGTAACAGAGAGATCAAGATCATTGATCACTGGTCTCAATGCATTTGCTGCAGCTGGAGGGTCCATCCACACCTGTGCCATACAGACCCATTGACAGATACACACAAAGAGATGTGAGCACACCTCTGCACACACACGCACACAGCAGATGCAATGTTAGGTTTAAGTTCTCCAATGGGCTTAGACGTAGGGAACCTAGCCCATGTAACCAGGCTGCGGAGAAAGGCCTGAACTCTCATCATTTTCACGCCAAGAAAAGTGAGGAGGCAGGGCGTAGGAGCTACCAGATATATGCCCCTGGGCCTCGGGGAGATAGGAATAGAGGCAGGTTGAGGCTAGTACTCCTCCGTCTCACTTCATTGCAACTTTGCAGTCATCATGATCCCTTCAGTTCCAGGAGCTTAGTGCTACCATGCTACGTGGAGCGTGGTAACTAAGGTCGTTTAACACATTCAGATGTGGAGAAGGTAAAGCCTCAAGGGGCTGAGCGGTCATGGTTTGGGGCCTGGAGGATTTACCAGAAGTTTCAGGTTTAAGTTCTCTGACAGGCTTAGATGTATCATACTAAGTGCATGTAACAAGGCAGCAGGTAAAGACCTAGACTGCCATCATTGCCAAGAAAATTGAAGAGCCAGGGCATAGGAGCTACCAGATAGATGTCATCGGTCTCACTTCACTGCGAATTTGCGATTCAGTTCCCGGGAGGTTAGTGCTGCCATACTACGTAAACTTATTAGTTGTGTCATGTTGAACATCCTCCCCATACTACGTGAGCTATTTGGCTAGCTCTATCCAATCCCTTCATCCCAGCTGTTATAATGCAAAATGCCAACCTCCTTTCTTCACAGGCATTCCAGGCATATGAGGATCCCCTGAATTGTCCACACCATAAGTATGGTACAATCTCTGTGCAATAGCCAACAGGGCAACGATATCAGAAGGATGATGAAAATCCAAGGAGGAGATGGGAACATGGAAAGAGGTTTTATGTACAGTCTACATTGACATGATTGCTGCACGTGGGTTGACACTCACATTTGATACGCACCATGTGGTCAGGAGAAGCAATTTGCATTTGATATGTGCCTGGTAATCAGGAAAAACAGTTTGCAACTGAAAGACTTGCATTTGACACATGCCTTGCCGTCAGGAAAAACAGTTTGCAGCTGGAACACAAAGAAAAGCACTGAACAGGTGGAGAATAATGAGAAAGTCAAGACTCACCAATGTTGCTCTCAGAGGCTCAACCGACGAGTAGATGTATATCTTGTATTCATGTGCAACACCCTTTGTCAACACACTCTTGTCTGCAGTCCCAATTCTAACATACAATGTCGATGGTTCGAAGGGCGAGCCTCGTGAAGGATTGAAAACCAATACATTTTCAAGCGCTGGCCTCCCGAAACCTGCAACAGGGGAAGAAACCCAATGATTGCATAACCACGCAGTCACTCACCCCTCTAACAGGTTCCACCTCACTCACCTAACCCTTCTACCCAAGTTGAAGAACAATCACCGCACTCTGGATGCCAGCATACCCTGCCATCAACATTTCCCTGCGCAAATAGTACTACGCAAGGAGAAAGCCTCTTTTCTTGGCATTTGTTCTGAATCCCCAATCCAAGGACAGGTCATCCTCTGGAGGTCAACAAACCCTGCGAGTGTGAACAGCATACCCTGCCATCGACATTTCCCTGAGCAAACAGAACTTACATGAGGAGAGAGCCTCTTTATTGGACTTTGTTCTGCATCCCCAGTGCTGCAATCAGACTCGCTCTCATTCACACTTCTCACGCATGCAAACAGGTGTGCAGCAAACTGGCGACAAGCGCCCACTCAGAACTCAGAGATACAGTAACCGAGAACACAGTTCAGATTCAAGTTCACTTCGATGGCTATGGCGACTCAGCGCCCACACAACTCACTGTTCGCATACACAGGATCACCCTGGATATCCCATACGCGATACTCTGAACTCACACACACACTCACACTGCACTCTACCTACAGCTATGGCGGCTATGGCCGCTACTACCCTATCGCTATGGCTAACTCTTTCTCTCTCGCCCACTTCATCTTCGGGCTCTCTGCAGACCACCTCGCACAAGTCGCTTATGGCAGCGCTTCCGCATGGCTCACGCAGGAAGGAATGAATGACTGGGCGCTGCCTCTTGATTTATACTTCTGCAGCTCGTTGGTCTGGCCCTTTCCCATGCCCGAAGTGCACACAGTCCCATGTGGTACTTGCTTGACTGGACCAGGACTGACTGGGGACTGGGACTGTTGACTCAGCACGGTAGACTTCCACCACTTGCCCACTTGCCTCACCACTTGCCCACTTGCCTCAGTCTAAACGTGGGCAATTTCGAAAGGCCACTACTCGGACCTTACGGATGGCTGTAGACTTGGCCTTTCGATACTGTAGCAACTACGACCTTGACCTTGCTGGTCAGTAGCAGCTATGACCTTGACCCTTCGAGAAGGCTACAGCTACGACTCCTGGACCTGACTGAGACTCCTGCTCGACAGGTCTACAGATCGAACCCCTGCTACCTGTGGACCCTACGACAACCTACCAACTGTTACAAATACACAGGTCACGGGTTCAACTCTAAGGGTCGACACAGATACTATACACAGGTAAGGTGGGGACTAGGGATCGAGCCCTGGGATCTGCATCAGCTACTGCGAATTGGTGAATACCGTTTCACCCCCGCTGGCCTAAATTCGAGGTCCTCCGAGAATAACTCAGTCCAAGGCAGGACCTTCACCTTTCTGATCTCTCTCTCGTAGGCTCTAACTATATCGGGAGCTGTCTCTAGAAGTTCTGCTCTCGTGAACCAGCGGTCATCCTGCGGTTCCTGATACGTAAACCGGACCTTATATTGCTTCTGTGGATGACCTCTACCTCCTGTTCTGAACACATCTTCACCTACAATGCCGTCAATGTCATACCTTCCGTCCATGTCTGGAGGGATCATGGACCGTCTAGATGGAAACTGTTGACTTGTGACACATGGCAGCAACTTTGATGCTTGAAACACAGGGTAGGTGTGGAGGTGTGCTGGTATCTCTACTGTGTAGGACGGCCCATCCTCTCCGCCCTTGACTTCTAGAACTGGCCACGGTCCTCTGTACGCGGGCAGTAACTTCTACGAGATGTTCTCCTCAGGAGCAAACTCTTTGGACTTGACCCAGACCAGGTCGCCTACCTGAAACTGTGACGGGCGACGGTGCTTATTAGCCTGTTCTATCATACGGTGCTGGGCCTTCCTGAGGTTCTCAACAACAGTGGCTATCTCTCTCTCATGCTGTATCGCAAACTCCCTGGTACCGGGCGGTAGCCTGTGAATCTGATCCCGGTTGAGTCCCTCAAACGGTCTTCGCGGTCTAAAGGACTTGTGCAACTCATTGGGAGTGCGACAGGTGGACAAGTGCACGCTGTTATTGTACGCACTGGCTACCTTGGGCAACATCTCGTCCCAGTTGACTTGATCAGGTCTAATGTACATGCGCAGAACTTGCTGCAGGATCTTGTTCATCTGCTCGGTCTGACCGTTAGTCTCTGGATGGCGGCCAGACGACATCAACAACTTAGATCCGTAAACCCTCATCAGTTCCTGCCAGTTCTGGCTAGTGAAATGACTATCTCTATAGCTGACTACAGACAACGGGACTCCATGCTCACTAACCCAAAAATTGAAAAACTTCTGAATCACTAACTCTGTGCGTGCCTCTGCAGGCAACGGAACAAAAATAGCATGCTTGCTAAACCTATCGACTACAACCATGACTTGGCTCTTGTCGTGCCTACTCTTGAAGCCAGCGTCCATAAAGGCGATGGACACTGAATCTCCTGGCTGATCAGGAATAGGCAGGGGTCTGAGAAGACCTAGAGGGGCACGCGTAGTAGTCTTGTTCCTTTGACAGACTTTACAACTGCGGACGTACTCTATGCAGTCGTTTTTCATTCCTGGCCATGTGTATGCGTGCATAAGATGGGCTAACGTCTTTTGCCAACCGAACTGTCCCTCTGTATCATGGCATTCCCCTAGGATCAGACTGCGGCTCTCCTCACAGTTGGGAACGTATAGGCGGTCTACGACATTAGTCTTCTCAAATAATAACCCCTCTGTAGTGCAGTAATCTGGCTCAGTCTCTGGGGCCTCCTTAACCTTCTTGAGGAGGTCACTATAGATAGGGTCCTGTGCATACGCCTGTCTAACTTTCTCTTGCAGGTCACGCCCTATGTCCAGATAGTGAAATATGGCTCCAAAGTAGTCTGATCTCCTAGTCAGAGCATCCGCAACTACATTGTACTTGCCCTTCACAGGCTTGAGCTCAAAGTCATATTGGTCTATCTCAGCGGCCCACCTGGTCAACTTAGGTGTCATTTTGGCCTGTGTCTTCAGCCATCTAAGGGTCTCATGGTCTGAATACACCTTGAAGTGCCTCCCAAGCAGGTAATGCTTCTAGTGTTCTAAGACCTGCCTGAGAGCGTAGAGTTCTCTCTCGTACGTCGAGGTAGCTACCTTCTCTAAGGGCATCCTCGCTGACATGAACTCTACGGGTCTGTAGCCATTGTCGTCATCCTGCTGTAACACGACGCCTATCCCATACTAACTTCTTTAGCGCAGATGTGCAGTCCTTATCCCACTGCCAGATTGCCTCTTTCTTGAGCAACCTGCGAAGGGGAGCGGCGATAGTAGAGAAGTTCCTCACGAACTTCCTGTAGTAGTTAGCTAGGCCTAGGAACGACCGCAACTCTGTCAACGTGCGGGGCGTCGGCCAATCTCTAATTGCCGCTATCTTGCTGTTCTCTGGCTTAATGCCATCTCCGTCCAATACGTGGCCCGAGTACAGGACTTGTGTCTTGGCCCACTCGCACTTCTTTGCATTGATCTTGAAGTTAGCTTCTCTCAGCTTCTCCAACACCTGCCTCAAATGACCCTGGTGCTCTTGGAGCGTCCTACTGAAGACTAAGATGTCGTTTAAATACACTACGACGAATCTATCTAACCAAGGCCTAAACAGATCGTTCCGCGGCCGATCCAGCACAGGATAGAGATAGAGCCCCCCCGCCCCTCCCCCC